ACACACACACGCACGCACGCACACACACACACACACACACACAGCCTAACAGAACACACAACACAGATAAACTCTCCCATACACATTAAGAATCCTCTAAAAGTTGACTATATAACACAGAACCACAACTAGAAACTGTACAGTCTAAAAAAATGAATGCAGCTGTGAAGAAAAGACATTGTGTGCATGTGTATTGCCTGTGTCTTGGCAATAAGAACATAATAAACGTGCAAGCAACATAATTCCTATAACTCTGACAGTTAAGAAGGATAAAGACAACAGCTGGTAAAGACATATTTAAAAGATCTTGACAAGGTTTTCTATTGGAAGCTGTTCTTCTTCTCATGATGATCTCCTCCCCTCCAGTGAGCTCTGGAGATAATTAAAATGCATTTCCTTAGAAAAATGGAGTGGAAGGTTACACAGCAGAGGAGTGACGGGTTGCAGAGGAGGAAACTGAGGAGTAAAAGCTTATCTGAGTTTTCCACAGAAATATAAATGGTCTTTTGAAGACACACACACACACACACACACACACACACACACACACACACACACACGCACACACACACACACACAAGTGCATACTATTATCAGTGTTATTGAAAGGAGATATTATTAGCTGAATTATTAAGAGAGAACTCCTGCGCCCTAATGTGAAGGACGGGGCAAGGAAAAGCTGTTTGTGACGCAATGTGTGGGTGAGTGTGTGTGCCTTTGAGTGTGTGTATAGGGTGTGTGTGTGGGGGGGGATATATATATATATATATATATATATAAGTGCATTGAGTTTGTGCAATTTCCCTGCATTAAAACACTCTGCATTTGCCTAATGTATGTGTGCAGGCATGCCCAACCCTTTTTGTGCACATGTGTATGTTTTTTCATCACAATCCAAATAATACAGAATAAGGCCAGACTTATAGCAATGTATATTATTCCTTTTCCTCTCCCTTCTCTCATGTCATATTGTATTTGAGTGCAGGGGCTATACCATTTGCAATCAGAACTGCTTCATGCCAATGAAATGTTCCTGAATTTGAGGAGAAAAAGTGGAGAGGAGAGCAAAGTTTAAAAAGGAAATAAGAGGAAAGAAGATTACACATCAAATCCCTCTGCAGTGGACCTCACTGTGAAGCTGATGATACACAGCGGACACACTGAAGCAATGTAGAGCTCTAATTATGCTTTCAGCAGGGACTGGGATTGGTTAGAGGCAGCGGCCATGCTCACATAAAGCCATCTGGTTATGAATGATTGATTTAATGAATGTCAACCTTATCTATCTGTCTGTCTGTCTGTCTGTCTGTCTATCTTACGTAAGAGTTTATACCTAATAATGAATATGGAATCAGCTCACAGACCCCACACCAGTCACTGTTGGAAACATTCAATATTCAATATGCCCGGTAGCTAAATCATATCTCTCTCTCTCCTTATTTTATTGTCTTTCTGCATGATTCTCTCTCATAATTTCCCTCACTCTCTTCGTCTGTGCACGCTCGTTGACCGTGAAATTGCCACAGCTTTAAACATGCGGCAGATTCATAATCGACCAATGACGTTTGCGTCTGTGTCGGAATATGAAATCTAAGTATTTCCCAATCTAAGCACATGGAGACAAAACACACACACAACACACACACACACACACACACACACACACACACACACACACACACACACACACACACACACACACACACACACACACACAGCAATACACTTCCTCACACTATGTCATCAACAGTATAGGTAACATGAATATTTATTACAATAAACTGAAATCTTATTACATTAATTTTTACAAAATCTTTAAAGAGAGATACATGCAGACTAGTCATGCATGGACAGACGGACGGTGCATACAAAACATATCTACAGGCGTGACACAGAAAGATGAGAGATTCTGTGCATGCAGGCATACTGATGTGTTGGTTTATCACACACAGAACATGTCCATGAATCTTGGCAACTTGTTTTCACATTCATGTTCTTTGTTTTCCCATTTATTCATTCTATGTTGTCCTCTCTTTTTTGCCTTCAACAGGTTCATAATTATGTGCAGCTGCATGTGTCTCTGTGTTGACCTCTCCAGTAGACACCAGGGTGCTTAGTATTCAAGACTGTCACTGACTCTCTGTGGCCAATCAGCACACACTTGTGTACACGTACACACACACACACACACACACACACACACACACACACACACACACACACACACACACACACACACACACACACACACACACACACACACACACACACACACACACTTAAATGACGCCCCGCTGCCTCATAATTTCTCTGCCAGCTCTAAAACAGACTTTATCTAGTCCAATCAATGTTCATAATATAAACACAAAGATAAATTGATTATGCTGAACATACTGTAAAGTAGACCAAAGATAAGAAGCCTTTGTCGTTTGACAGATAGCGCCGCTGCGCTGATTAAGTTTGTCAAAGTTCCTGACCCAAAGGAGGGATGTCGGAAAATTAATAGTGTAGTGGAACGCTGCTATGGAAATGAGAAATAATGAGAAATAAGCCTCTGGTGCTATCGTAGGCCTTGAAATGAACCGGTGTTCCTTCGATAAAAAAAGTAAATGTGCTGTTTCCTTTATCTTTAATATTCTAAGCTGTAAGAAAGGGTCATTGGAATCAACCTCATCACAGAAATCTTCTTGTTGTCTTTTGTATGAAGTTGACATTTTGACCTGGCGATAGCTCAAGAAGAAAAATCAAAGATTGCCCAAGATGCTCAGTAAAGTTCAACATTCATATTGAATTTGATCGTTCTTATCTGGAAATGGAATTCCTGGGCTGATGATAGTCTTAAAGGAAAGGATTTAACCACTGAGGGACAAGAGTGTTGACAGCAAATGACATTTACATGCAAACAATAACACATTAAGCGTTGACCATGGAGGATGTTTGGCCTTAGCTTGGCACTACATGAATGTACACATCTTCACAAAAATCATGTGGCGTTATGTGATCAGACTTGCTCCCACTCTGCCTGTTTTTAAATCCTTCTCTTATACATGGTAGTTTGCAGACCATGTATAAGACGTATCAGTCTGTGTTTCTAAATTGGGGTTTTTCTATTTTGTTGTGTTTTAAAATGTTTTTACATCATGTATGAGGGTTTTCAGTCTGTGGCTATAAGGATGGTTTTATTGTCACGTGCTTTTACATTAGTTTCTTTTTGTCCTATCGGTTTTGTCTAAATGTATTTATGCTGCTTTTTTTTTTTAAATGTATTGATGTACAGCACTTTGTTCAACTCTGTTGTTTTTAAATGTGCTATATAAATAAAGTTGGATTGGATTGGATTATGCAATAATTATGTTCAAATTGTCGTACACTGGGGGCGCCCTTCTGTATCCGAACCTTGGCCCTTTACTGCATGCTGTCACTTCTTATGTCTTACTATATTGTGTTTTAATACATCTCAGAAAAATAGATGTCTTACTCTGGACCAGTGTTGTACAGACAGATGACAAATAAACAGTGTATGTGTTGCAGTAACAATATGTTGAGCAAGAGAACATATAATCTAAGTGACAAAAAAATCCTCTGATACTTATATGCGGACAATCAGCACACTAGTGGAAAAGAGAAGCAGGCGGCGGTGGAGATGAGAATAGAACACGATGGCAGAGGAGCTCCTGGCTTCATTCAGAGAACACAGCAGGAGGTATGTTCACAAAACAAATTCCTCTGACTTGTCATGATAGATTTATGTGTGAAGAAAATGCATATCTGTTCAGCACATAGGCTACAGTAAGCCTCAGGTTAGGACCCCATCTTTGATTACACAAAGTGATTCATACTGGCTGAGAATTTATAGAAAATGGCCGTTCTTCCTGTCCCTTTTTCACAGAAAATAACATACGAATGAAAGACCAACTCTCCATTTTCAGTTTGTTTGTTATTACTTTTATTAATTATTATCATCGTCATCATCATCAACATTATTCTTCAAGTTTAGCTGTGTAACAAACTTTTTCTTGGCTGTCAAAATATGTCGAAATATACTTTTTGCATGAAATGAAACCTACAAACAGTAACGTACAGAAAGGTAGCAGAAAAAAATACAACATGAGAAAGTAAATAACCTAAAAATAAAAAAAGAATTCTATGAAAGCAATTCAACTGAATAGACACAATTCTACTAAAATATATTGGTTAAATGCACATAGTTGATGTGTGTATGTCCATGCGTGTGTGTGTGTGTGTGTGTCTGACCAATCACAAACTGGCCTTTAGCTCCCTTGTCTCCCATGGTTAATAATGTACACTCAATTCGTACCAGTGCTGGTGTGTGCATGTGTGTGTGTGTGTGTGTGTGTTATCCCTTCCTTGGCAATAAGAACATAATAAATGGAGTGCAAGCAACAGCATAATTCCTATAACACATTCTGACAAAGACAAAAATGAAAACACTTGTTTTTAACAATGTAAACGCTGATGTAAAATGCCATCAAACCTAAAACAGACACTGATTTTTTAATTAAAACATGCCATGTGTGACCTGAAGGTCCAATTCATTTCAAATGTCTCGCCTATTTTAAACCATAAATGACAGCTGAAATGTTCTCCCAAGATTCCTATTAATATCTATTTAAGTTTTAGATATACAGTATCCTTACATGACTCATGAGAGACATTCGTGTTAATCTGGCAAATACATAAAAACATATTTGGATAGGAAACAGTTTCGCAGAGCACATACAATATGGAAATTGTGCAAGAAGTTTTTTATTATCTAGGCTACTTTCTTTTTACTTCCAACTCACTCAGTTCAGGGAAATGATTTTTTTTCCAAAAGTTCATAAACTATTGAAATATTTTGGCATTCATTTGTCTCCAGCCTACTTAGAAACTGCTGTGTTAACACACACAAAATGAGTTCATCCTGTTGCTTTTATTATATCTGTTTCCTAGAAATCCCATGAAAATCACAACCAAAGGAGTTTCAATAATTTAATAGATGAAAATGTGTGTCAATTTATTTTTATCAAATGTGAAACTAAATCCGAGAGAATCCACAATTTGCTTCTAGCAAGAATCTGATCATTTACTGCTGGTGACAATTTCTTTAAGGACCATTCAAGTAGTAGGGAAATGAAACCTTAACAACACGAGCAGACACCTTGTCAGTTTTGGGGTAACTGAGCTAATATCAGCTCTTTGGGCACAACACGGCGTAACACATACATTTAACTCCCATTGTGCCTCCCTTGACCTTTCTACCAATTGAGAACACGTGTATAAGCACTTGATAAAAGAAGTGATGCAGGAGAGTGGAGGGATAGGTAGAGGGATAAGAAGAAAGACAGAGATGCAGAAGTAAAATAAAACAACAGATGAGAAGGATGCAGGTGATGGAGATCAATAGAAAACAGATGAGAGGATGAATGCATACATTAACCTATTTATCAACCACTACAAGCGTCATTTGATCCATATATACTTCAAAGGCACCCATTTATCCATCATAGCATCTGTCAATCCTTCCTTTTGTTCGGATTCTTTAAACAAAAAACACTGCTTGATTGCTTTTGTTTTGCTACATTTGCAAATGTAAACAGTTTTCTTGATGCTAGCATGCCCTGAAGAGATGCCCAAAGCTTAAAAAAACACAATATATTATGCTTTTCTTTCCATCAGTGTGATGTAGAAAGTAGAGCCATTCATGGGGAAGGTGTGCAAACTCTTCTGAGGAAAATCCCTACACTGATTTCTTTGCAGCAGAAAAAGTATTTTTATTTTATTTTTGTTTTACTGTCAGTCCTGCTTGTTTGCCAGGTTTTCTGAAGGCATTGGTGTCTTAAAATGTAAGAAATCGAAATAATTATCTCCTCTGTAGAATAACAACGCCTCATAATGCGTTTTTTCTTAACCATGATATGGGCACTCAGGTGATATTACACAATTTGGCTTCCAACTCCAAACAAACCAAACACAGCACAGAACATCTTCGTGTCATTACATCTCTGTAAAAATGTTACCAAGGCAAATGTCTTTATCTTCCTACAAAGTCATGTAAATGCATGCAAAGAGGGTTAATTAGTGATAAAGAGTTAGCATAGCAACCAATTTCATTCTGTTAAAGCACATGTGGGTAGTTCTCAATGGCTGAAAAGGCAAAGAGGGAACATCAATCAGACACAAGCATTATAATGGATGACTTTTAACTTGGTGCACGGGAAATAAATATAGAAGTATGTTTGCCCAACTCCTGCCTAACATGACTTACATCACTTTTCGAAACAGACAGAGGTTTATTAGAAAAACTGTACAAGTTACCAGGCACTAGTCAGAATATCTTTGTATCCATGTCTTTTGGATAAGCATAGAAAAATATCGTATTCTCATTATTTATTCTCTCCTGTTTTTATTGTCTTTAGGCTTTTATTACTTCCTTCAAAGGAGTCCCTTGGTGATTTTTTTTGTTTTTTATTCTACATGTAGCAACTAAGGCAGCAAGGCAGGGGAAGTGATTCTGTTCTTATAAAAAAAAGATGGCCCCCGTGTTTCTCCCTTCTGAAGAATAGAATCTTAATGACCTGCTAGTCAATATTCTCAATGTATTCAATTAATGATGAACATTTGGTTTTAGACGGGTCTTTCCTTAAACTTATAAGACTGATTTAGAACCAAAATGTAGGTAATGAAAGGCAGAACAGTTGTAGGAGTAAGCTGGAGTTTGAAGCAACATGGCGATTTTTTTCAGTATCATTTAGGTATAAGGTGAAACAGTTCCCATCCATAGAAAAGGCAACGTATTTTGCAGATTTTATAAGACGCTAACATGCTACATAGAGGTAACCTACCATACTCTCAGAAATACGAGATAGGCTGAATAAAACACTGTAGGCAATACGCTCTGTAAACTCAATACAGAGCTAAAGTTTATACAGTTAACCCATATAATTAATCCTTATGATAACATTTAGGGTTCATCTCCCTAAGCTCCTAAGGTCTCTCTATAAAACCATACCTAACAACATATGATAGACAAACAGAAAAACAGTTACATAGTAAGACTATTTTGACCTATTAACACACAAAGAACATGATAAGAATACATATAAGACAACGTAATGTAACATGCCAAAACCATTAGACCTTTTAAAAACGATGTGTCAAATGCTACGAGACAGGTGGGTTGGTGTGCAACACGTGTGACCCCTGAGGACTGAAATACCGAGCGCAAGCCTTCATTATGTTTACATCATCATTTGGGGATGGAAGCATCCTTTGATCCTTACACACAATTACACAAATGCACACATACACACAACCCCCTCTCTTGCTGTACCATTTCTGTTAGACGGCTGTTATCCACGTAACAAGTCTCCCCCAAGAAGATAAACAACAAATAACTCAAAAAGAAAAAAAAGACTCAAATACACTAATTCTTATAGTACCATTTCCTGCAAAAAAGCATTATTTGCCTTTACAAAATAACATTTTATATAGGAAAGTGTAGCAAATTGCATGTTTTGTACTATAACATCATAATTATTATTATTACCATTATTAATATAAATGTTAAGCAGGTTAATAGATGGTGGTTCTATTAGGCAGGCAGCCAGGCACGTAGCTAGTATCATGGCACGGAGGAAGGTAGAAAATAAAGTCACTTGGTTTGATCAAAATGGATCAAGAGAACACTTCGGTCCGGAATTACTCCGGTCTTACCAGTTCAAACTGGTTTTAAGCAGTTCAAAAAGTATTTTCAACAAGTCTCCCATTTAGGGCCACTTTGCAGCGCTGGCGACTTTGCCAGTTGTTTTTTTCTTTTTGCCAGTTTCAGAAACAAAATGGAAAGGAGCTAGAAAAGCCAACCGATCCTTTTCTTAACCAAAGTAACCAAACTGCAACCCAGAACCAACTGGGTTAACTCCACCAGTTTCAAAGAGTCAAAATAAGTTTTGGTTTGGATCCATTAGCACAGCGGTGTGACAGTCAAAAACATGCTTTGGACCAGACCAAAGTTCTTCTAACCAGATAACATCTGGTTGTACCGAGATAAACGATCTGAATGATGCATCAGACCAGTTAGGACCAGTTTGGTTCAGTTCCACCCGGTGCATAACAGATCAGCCAAGTTAAAGTGTTTTGCTTCTAGCATTTTTTTTGCTCTGCTGTATGGTGGCTGTGCAAGTGCTGAGCTCCTCAAACTCATCCTAAATGAGAGCAGTCTAACTTTCTGTCCAGCTTCCAATCCTCTTATTTGGAAAACACATGAAGTGGCTGTTTATTAAAGGTGATTTCAGCTGCATGCCCGGACTCTGTCATTGAATACTTGCCACAGAGCTGTCAAGTGGCCGTCACTCAACACAGGATTCAGATTCATTTCTCCAAACTGTCCCTGCAGCAGTTCAGCGGGATCCTACGATGATTTTTGACCATTTGACAGCCGAGTGCTTCCAGCATAAGGATGTGTTCCATTTAGTGCCCAGGATAGGCCCATTTTGACATGAGCGAGCCTCCAGGAACGTGGAGGCCGACAGCTTATTCATTCAATAAAAAGCGTTCTTTAAAGGTTTGTTTGAGTCAAAGGCATCAGATTAATTACTCTCTGTGTTCTCATCTAAGTTTTTAGATTCGGCAACAGTCGTGACCTCTGTGGGTTTTGTGGTGTCATCATTACTATCCGACACCGTTTCATCTCCCAACTCCTGGTTTGTTACGTCACGACCCTCTTCTCTTACTTCCATTTCAGCTTCCGTTTCATTGTCAGTGGCATCAGCGCCCGTCTTTTCGTTTGCTTGGTTGTCGTGACCATCTCCTATGACATCGTTGCTTTCGTCTGTGATCTCACTGTGAGCAGTTTCATCTTTTTCCTCGGGTGTCACATTTTGACACTCGTGCTCCGGCGTCACCGTGACGTTCTGATTGTGGTCCTCTTGCGTGGGACCCTTCTTTTTGTCTGTGTACCTGTGTAGGCCCCTCTGTATGTGTGTGGTGAAATCATAGCGATCAACACAAACGTGAAGGCAAAAGCTGCATTGGTATGGTCCCTGGTCGCCGTGGCAACTCATGTGCAGTGCATACATGACCTCGTCGAGGAAGTAGATCCCACAGTGGATGCAGCGGTTGGTCAGGTCGTCCTGCGTGGACGCTTCCACCATTACGCGATTCGATGGGGCACTTGACTGACTTTTCGTCAAATGATCCTTTTCTATCTCCTCCCTCTGGTTCTCTCCTTCATCCATCCTCTCCTCCTCCTCTTTCTCTGCTTTCCAGTTCTCTCTAGACCTCTCAGCCAGCGGCGACTCTTGCCTTCTCCTCTCCGCACCGTTTGTTGACACGTGTGAATTCGCAGCACTGGTATCTCTTTGTCTTATTGCCAGATCCAAGGGGGCGTCATTTTCTAACGATGGCGAGGAGGTTTGGGAATGAAGAGGAGGAGGAGGATAGTGAGGAGGCGCTGGAGGAGGGGGAAGAGGAGAGTAGGGGGAGGCACAGTAAGGCACCGTGTAGCTTTGCTGATGATGCTGTACTGGAGCCACCATGGCACCAAGGTAAAGAGAGTTGTTCCCAACGCTACCAGGACTGCTCAGATTACTGAGGGTACCGGGGACCCCAGAGGCGGCGGCCATCTTGTACTTGGTCCAGAACCTGAGCCAATCCGATTCAGGCGTCAGATCAGGGGAGAGGGTTAATGGTAGGGGTAAGGAGAAAAGAGGGTACTGGTATTTTTCAATGGGTGAACCAGGGGGCGAATAACTAGACGGTTTGGATGGACGCATGTACTTTTCAATTGGACTCCCTCTTTCTGATCCACCTCCTCCTTTACCTCCCTCTACTTTGGATATCATCCCGCCCTCTGCGAGGCCTCCATTACCCTCAGCTACCAACGAGGAGGGGGTGTGTGAAGGAAGGAGAAGAGGAGGCATGCGCCGGTGGATCTCCAATGTTTGATTGGCTAGGAAGGCTTGAGTGGATCGGGGGGAGCGTGAGCGAGGGGAAGGCTGCTGGTTTTTGATTGAAGCAAAACATTTGTCTGACTCCTCCCCATTGACACGCTCTTCGCTGGTGATGCGCTGTTGTTTCGGGGCGGGGGTCTCAGATGACAGGGAATCAGGGTTGATGCGTTTCCTTGTACGGCGGCGGATTATTTGTTCACCGTTGTTCTGCTTTATGATGTTCAGAGGTCTTGGTGTCTAGGAGATAAAGGAAACAAAAAAGGAAAACATGAAAAAAGGACAAGTGTTAAAAAACGATTAGCTATTGACAATTTATATTCTTGTTTGAATGTTTTCCAACAAATTATCTGCGGCTACTTATCTGGCATGACTAATAACATCAGACATATAAAGCCTAGCATCATTTGACTGTGATTATATTACATTGTGTTTATTACAAAAAAAAGGAATAGCTGCAACAGTAGAGCTTATGACTGGTAAACCACTTATTTAAAAAGACATCAATGCTAAGAAAGTTGCATTATGGCTGATTGAAGATGCACAACTGCAGTTACTGTTTGTAATAATCAATGCAAAGTAGGCCAACCAAACACAAATCTCCAATTTACCAATAGTATATCAACATTTGAAAACTCTTAATTCCTTTACACTTGACCTATGTATAATTAACTGTGACAGGCTAAAGAAAAGACATGTACTTGGACTGAGGACTGCACTTTTTGCCCTTACCACAAGGGGGAGCACTTACATCTGATGTAAATTGTTTGCCCTTAAAACTCAACTTTTCCAGACAGATCCCTAACTTACTCTTGACAGAGGTCTGAATTCCAAAGAATGAAATCTGGTGTGGTTCTACAACACGATATCTGAATCCTTTGTTACTTCTGAAGATAAATGTAGTACTTCTAAAGATAAATGAGAGGCGATGAAACGTATTTGATGTTTCATTCCTTACACATTCCAAAAGAAATCAAAAGATTTCCAGACAAATTAGCGAAAGATTTTCTTTCATTGGAGTAAAATAAATGGGCCAGTTTAAAGTGTCTTTAAAGTGTCTACACTTCAACTCAAAAGTAATGACTTGCTATCAATTCACTATTGGAGAACTGACTGCACTGAGGCCTTCTCTCTTATACACATAACACATAGTAAACTTATCACAGCATTAATGCAAAACAAAGTCAAATTCAACTGAGTTTTTTTTAAGCATAAATAAACCTTTAAGTTGAGTTTATTGAAATGTTGACTGAAATGCAGGTTGAATTTATTCCACTTTCCACTTAACATTTTAGGAATAGCAAAGAGCTTTGTTATTATATGTGCCTATATGTAACTCTTGAATGTGTGTCCAACTGATGTAAGACTTAGTACATTACATTGTGGGAAATCAAAACCAGGTGCATATAGAAGCATCAAGCAAGAAGGAACATAGATGAATGACGGTGTTCAAGTGGAAGAAAAGCAAGAACGTGGGTTGGAGCTTCTATTTAAAGAAAAAAGCCTGATGTCTGCAATAGGTATGATTTATCCCAGCGTGAATGAAAATCAAGTACACGGGTTAGGACTTTAATATGTACCTATGTCTACGACTAAGAATGTGCGTTTCTCAAGGTATGTGTGTAAAAGTGTGTGTCAGTGAGTGTGAAGTCATCATTAGTCTTTGTAGAGCTGCTACTGGAACTATTTAAGGAGACATGAGTCACGTATAGCTTAATCCAGAGATGTCCTGCTGCACTTGTAACAAATGATGTTGACACATTCATCAACAGGGTTAACTCATACTCAAAGCAGTCCTTACTTACAACACTGTTTCAATGTATACACTTTATATAGGGGCCTCCTCTCAGAAGCCATGCTTGTAATCGTCTTTGTTGTTTTTCAAAGAGCTGTCCTATTCATAATTTTGGACAGCTTTTAAATATCTGAAAAACAATTTTTTCTCTCGAAAACGGACACAATTATGTCAGTCAAATAATTGACATTTTCCTTTATGGTCCTAAAGTTGTGTGTTTCTAGCTATAGGCTGGTGCCCCACGGGAACACATACGGCAAAACGCATAGGATTAACGCAATCGCAAAAAAGCTTCCGTCCACACGCAATATACACCGGATAGTGTCTGTTCACACGAGACAGCTCCGTTTAGCTCCAACCACTGGAAAAAGCTGCAGTACATATGCCGAGCCTGTACGTGGCGCTGTAACTTCCTCCAGAAAAAGCAGCGAAGAAGCATGGTTGCCCTTCTGTTTATTCACCGTGGTGGGGGCCGAGGGAACCGGGCAGAGTTTTTCGCCGGTCAACGTGTGTAAAAGTTTAAATCTTCCGGACAAAATTATAAAAGTGCCGGTCAAAGGTCTTCTTTGTTATTTATTAAGCTTTAAAACAAATGAATAACGACTATATATAATAATAAAATACACGGAGCCTGTCCTCTCTTTTTCCTCTCTTCTGACAGCATCAGTGTCTGTCTCATGCAGCAGCTGATCCAGTAATGAGTGACCTGGCCGACAGTACAAAATAAACATATTTATAACTAGTTTAGGTAGTTTGAGAGGTAGGCTAATTAAAATAGCTAAGGGTGATGATCTGACTTGAAGTGTGTGTTTTGCAGCGGGAGGAGCTGCGTGTCTCCGTCCTGTCAGATTAGACTCCACTCATGTTTATGTCCATATTGAGATAAAGATAAATAATCTGAATTCAGTGTGCAGTGTACTTTTGCGGGGGTGAGCAGCAGAGGTGGGGGGGAGGCAGGGCTATTGCGTCATCATTATCACAAAATGATCGTATAGAGGCGATCACACGGAGCCGTATGATGACCCCCCAGAGCGCTCCGTTCCCAGATCTATCCACCTTTGGACCGGTTGTCGGGGTCCGTTTCTATCGTTTAGTTACGGCCTCGTGTGGCAAAAAGGGCTATCCGCAAGAGAAATATGTGGATACAACCCGTTTTCGTCCTCGTGGGGCACCAGCCATAGAGAAAAGACAGGAGTGGAAGGGGAGAGAGGAATGAAAGGGGTGAGATTAATGAGAAGGGGGAAAAACTGATATATGGTTTACAGGAAGGATGAGGTAGAGGGAGGGGACATGAAGGAAAGAGGAAATGAAGGAGGGAGGGAGTAAACACAGAAGGAGGATGGCTATCGTAAAAAAAAAAAAAAAGGGAAGAAGCAAAAAATAGCACCCCTTGTGATGGAAACAGTCCAACGATGTGTCTTTATTCCATACTACATACTGAAACTAATCAGGAGCTATTTACACTATATATGTAAAAGTGAAATGGATCATTGATTCCTGGGATCCAACCAATTAAACTCATTTTTTGAGAGTGCATTCATTAAATGTCTTCAGTATATTTTGCATATAAAGCAGCCTAATCAATGGGTATGTACATAGTTCAGTCTCTCCTTAAAAAGCTCTTCTGCGTTTTCTCCTAATCCCTCTCCATCTCTCACTCTTTACACATCCCCTCCTCTTTCATTATCCCTGTCCTCACACTTTACCTTAATCTTCTCCTCTCTCTTTGTCTTCTTCATTTTTCCTACCCCTTGTTTGTCTTCCGTCTTTCCTCTCCTCTCTCTGCTCTCCCTCCCTAAATGTCTCCCTTTTTCTCCCTTCTTATGCATAACTCTTGTTTCCCCTCTCTCACTCTGAAGTGTTTTACTAGCTGCTATCCTCTCTCATAATGTGTGTAGAGCATATTAAACTTTTATTATAGGGTATAAAATACGGCTGTCGTGAAGATTGTCAAGAGTAGAGAGAGCCGGGACGTGATTGGAGCAGCATATGAGATGAACAGGTTGACCAGGGGACATCGGCAGGGGCAGGAAGGAGTAAACTGCGATAGCTTGTCATCCTCTGAAGGGTCTTTAAAGCTCAATTCAATAATTTCAGTATAGTGCTTGGGGTTGTAACACGGTCAACCCACTGATGCGTTCACTAACACTGATTTATTACACTGAAACCTTTTTGTTCACTTTGAAATGTTACAAGCTGAGCCTAAAAGGCCAATATGTGAGCATGAATCTGGCATATATATATGTTGAAGCTCTGAAGGCTTGTTTCACAATGAATGTTTTTGAGAGTAAGCTGGTTTATTTAAGTGGGAAATTAGCTTTAACTCTTCGAAGACATAAGAGGTGAGAAGCTCAATATTCTCAAGTCAACTAAATTCCAGACTGGGTCTTTATCTCATCTGTAATTCATGCAGTGTCTAATTACATTTGGAATTTCTATTGACTTTCCTCGGGCTTCGATGGTAAAGTTGATATATTCCATCATATTTCTCACTCCATGGAGCTGGCTCACAGTGCCTGCTGAAATGGTCTGTAACTCCCAGCTCAGACCAAATCAAATATACTTTTTCCACAATATTACGTTTCACAGCGGGACTCACAGAATGTATGCAGGAATATAACTGCAGTATGCACAGTTTAATTTGAGCAATGTGCTAATGGGCCAGACAGGAGGAGTGATAATTAGGGGTCGAAACCTACCCCGTGGATGTATTAAAACATATAATCAGTCTATAAAATAGTCAAAAGTACTTGACAGGGTTAGGAGTTCATTACCGCAAATTAATTTCTGTATGATAATACACCTGATATTTAGCTTACTTGCTGACTCTGATATTTGAAGTGTTCTTAAGTGCTTTCCTTTGAAAATTCGAATAAAATTACAAGTATTCAGAAACTTCATGTATTACATTTGGGAAATGTTGTAATCAATCTCAAAGGTCTAACGTGTGTTTAGTATAATCCATTTAACCATCTGTTTGCATGATCATGACTGTGTATCACATACCGAATGAAGTTTTTGGTATAAACCACATGCGTTGCAGACGTAGCCTCCATTGGAGTTCTTCCTCCACAATGACGTCTTGGTAGTCAGACAGTTTGCACAGAAGACCCCGCTGCCTCTGCGTCGCTACGGAAGGATAAAAAACAGAAAACATTAGAATGTGAAGTAAATATCTAGATTGATAAAGCAACGTTTTGTAGGTAAGAAAAGAAAGAGGGAGAAGACTGAAAATGCTGTTTTTAGTTTCAAAATCTTTTCACACCGCTCAAATAAGATTAGGACAGAGAGAGAACATCTTGGTTATCCTGCCAAATAGTGAAACCTATTCAGAATGTTGTTGTACTATAATTTCCCCTTTTTAGAACAAGTTTAATATGTAATGTTGGTACTCAAGAACTGCTCCACAGAAAAGATATGTTTTCAACTTGCAGCATAAAGTGTTTAGGTGTTTATCTAAACTGCCGGAGGTACTTTACAGGTAAGTGTTTGACTTTTACTGTTTTAGTGTATCAACACACACACACACACACCTCTGCAGTTCATGAAGCAGCGGTGGATAAAAAAGTAGAGTGTGCAAGAAAGGGTGGGGGCGGGTTGGGTTTAAAAGGCCAATTGTCGTGGCAACGTGCTCCATCACAGTAATGAGCCAATCACAACGTTTCTCCATCCCATTAAGTCTCTGGCCCCATTCACCACCTTTATGACCCTGAGAAGACAGCATACCTCATCTTTCACCTCCATGAATATGTCGGTTTCTCTCTCTATTTGCCCCTCCGTCCAACAAGGTCTTTCTCTCTGCTTTAATTTTGATCAGCATTGGTGCTTATTCAATCTCTACTTCCTCCGCTCCTCTTGATATTTTTCAATGTTTTCCACTGACTAAATATCTACATAATAATAATAATAATAATAATAATAATAATGATACTTTGGATTTTTATGGCGCTTTTCCTATTACTCAAAGACGCTTTACATCAAATCAGAAACAGAAACACAATACAATGCATGTATAAGATTTACGCCTGCATGTAATTCCTTTTTCTTCACAGACCTTTAAATAATGTTCATTTTTCTCTCAGTTTGTGATGTCCTCTTTGATTATGTGAGTATGGTTGTGCTTGTAAAAGCTGTTATGTATGGTTTACTAAAATCTACCTTCTGTGGATCTGCCATATTACTACCTTAACATTTCTCGCTTGGATTCACATAGTTATCCCAATTCACTCTCACTCCATCACGGACTTTGCATCCACTGGGACCTTCTCCTTTCAGTGCTGGTTTCTTGTTGTTTTATGTTCATGACAGTGCTGGGAGTTAAGCATTTTTTTTTTCCCCGGGCTCAGAGCACCCAGTGCCAGAAGTTAAAAATATTTCAACTTTTCACAAAAGAGTGCTGCACTTCAATCAGGCTTTCTGTAGTCTCAGAGCTACAGATGGAGCCACTACCAGCACTTCCACCAAGCATCTGTTTTGCGCTGCCAGCTCAAAGCCGGAGAGCCCAGTGGGCACAAACACTGTTCACTTTATTTATGCAATCTAATGTACTGCAAGCATTCCTGCACACATAGAAGACTAAACATTAAATACCACCAGCAATGAAAAATGGTTTAATAAATGTTTCGTTTCCTTGCTATAATTTTAGCTCATAAACAGACGTTCACGATAACATCCTTCATGCTGTGTGGATCAGGATACAAAATTAAACGTTTAGATTGTTCCGGGATTGAACACAAAGGAACCCCACAGATGCGTTTATTTATTCTAGGAAAAAAATGTTATTTCATTCTAATTTTGTGTATAATAAAACCTGTTTCCCATAACATTGTATGTAATAAACACCTGAGCTAATATTAGAGTCTTTACTTTTTGTCCAGCTCACGTCAGAGAGCAGAACAGTTACATGACCAAACCCTCTGCTCTGTGTGTGTGTGTGTGTGTGTGAGCGTTCGTCTGCCTAAGTGTATATGTTGCACACACCATACGGTCACCACATGTACAGAGACAGAGCCAGGTGATTGATTGATGTACGCTTCCTGAGTGTGTGTGTGTCTAGTGTTGCAAGCCAAACAGTGCATCTGTCATCAGAATTCAGTTTCCCTCCGAGCACCCAAATCACTCACATATGGCCCCACAGCTGCCCCTCATTGCCACACACACACACACACACACACACACACACACACACACACACACACACACACACACACACACACACACACACACACACACACACACACACACACACACACACACACACACACACACACACACACACACACACACACACACACACACACACACACACACACACACACACACACACACACACACCACACACACACACACACACACACACACACACACACACACACACACACACACACACACACACACACACACACACACACACACACACACACACACACACACACACACACACACACACACACACACACACACACACACACACACACACACACACACACACACACACACACACACACACACACACACACACACACACTAATGGAAGCATGCAAGATTGCTATGAGAGGCCACTATCCAGTAACAGTGTGTGTATCTTGGCTTCTCCAAAACCACGATACAAGGATAGCCCAGTGTGTTTCTGTGTGTGTGTGTGTCTAAGACAGAAGTTCAAATGTCAATTAGACAGGAAAGTACAGAAATAGCTCCCACCACCTTCCAAAATGCACTCCACAACATTTGGCTCCTGATCTTTAACTTCCTCTTCAATCATCAGCTGGTTGGCTTGAGGTGTGGAAATGTGCAAGTTCACATCATGCAGACAAGCAAACACACACATCCACACAGTTAGACATGGCTTTGAGAGGGAGTACATCTCCTCGTGAAACTCTTGTTTTCTTGCTGTGTGTGTCGCTATGTATCCACCCGATGAGTGTGTGACGGTGCATGTTTTCCTGATTGATTACTGGTACCTGCCCCCCCCCCAACTCACCTCAGCCTACAGAGGAGGGCTGCAGGTAATTAGAGCTCAGGGTCTTAATGACATCTATTTATCTGCGGCCTATGATACGGTTCAATTAAAACCACCACCAACGCCCTCTGACACGCACACATGCATGCACGCAGAGGCACACACACAAACAAAAATGCATTCATTAGTCAGGAAATGAAAGTCTTTCTCAACTTTCTCCAAGCCAACAAATGAATTTTTACTCGTTTAGATACAAAGTTAAGTATCTAAAGTAGGAAGTGCATTTGAGTAACCAATGTAAACACGGCTCTCTTATCCCCAGGCTTTATTCTCAGGGTTGTCCAGTTGTCGAATTAGAAATACAAACACACACTCATGTAGAATGCTCTTATTCCTTTGCATTCAAATACATAGGCGATATACTGTACATCCGATAGTTCAATCTCTCAATAAATTATCAATATAAACAACAATCCAATTATAATACTGACATGTCGACAATATTTTCTGATTTTATTACTCTCATAATGCTCATGAAAAGGCCGCAAAAATAAGAGTACAATCTACTCAGTGGAAGGCTGCACATAAAACAACATTAATTGGTTTAATAACAATCAGCATGGTCAGTTTCTAAGTTGTAGTGCACAAACAGCTGTAACAAAGAGCATTTTCTTCATTGTGGCTGTAGACTTTAAAGCAATAATACATAAAGAGGCTACACGTCCTCGCTGTTGTTTGTTTGGGTAACAATGCACTTTCAAACATGCATATATTCCTCCCCTCTGTGTCTGAAAACAACTAACAATCCAACTTTAATTTAGTTTTTTAGACTTTTATAGGTTTGCACTGCCAACTTTCCACGAAATGGGTTAAAATGATTCCTCTTTTAAATTGAAACAGAAGTTACAAGCTGTTTCTCAGTGACCTTTTCATGACTGTTCTCATAAAAAGAAAGTCATAAATTATAACCTCATTCTCGAGAATCAGATTTGTATTTAACATCAAAACAGATGGTGTAACCACGCGGTGGCTGAACCCTTCAGCTCTGAGATTCTCCTGAAGCCATACATGTAGAGATGTTAGACAAACTGTTTACACTGCCTGGTCTTTACATCTTAAGGGAAGAGCTGGCGGAAATAGATAAGCATCCACTGGTTCTGTGCCTCAAATATATGTTGGCTTCCATCTGTAACCAATGTGTGTTGATATCTTTAAACTCCAATGGTGTTGCTTCGACTGGTGGCTTACACATGAGCTGCTGCTTTTCAAAATACCTTACATCCATTTTAAAACTTCAAATGAATAATTAAGTTGTTTTACCCAGCTTCAAAGATCTTGTTGTCAAGGACATACACAATTAGTTCAAGGCTATTACTCTCTAACTCACAATTCAAGCAACAATGTTTGCTTTGAATGCACTTTTTAAAAGGAGGGTCACACTTTTCAATTCAATTCCCTTTTTGCAACGAAAAATACAGATTATATCATTTTAATGAATAATTAATTAAAATAGACTGACAGAAAGACACTTCAAATATGAGAGTGTTGCTATCCTTGAATTCATAATGCACATTAGAGAGAAATACATAGAGAGAAACTGGAGCGATAGAAAAAGTGAGAAAGAGAATAGGAAAAATACATCGAGGCACCCTGCAGTCTAAAATATATGCAAATAGCAGGCTTTCTAAATAAATTATTATAAAATGAAATTACATTTAATTCACTTAAAGAGTCTGCCCTAGTTTGTTTTAACGCACACACAGAGAGACACACACTTACATTGATACATGAACTGACTTGCATTCAATTAGCGATTATTTAATCAAGCTAGAAGACTAGCTGGAGGAATTAACTACATTCCATACTGCCAAATCCAATATCCTATACACTGGATCACACACACACACACACACACACACACACACACACACACACACACACACACACACACACACACACACACACACACCACACACACACACACACACACACACACACACACACACACACACACACACACACACCACACACACACACACACACACACACACACACACCACACACACACACACACACACACACACACCACAACACACACACACAAAACAGATTCCCCAAATTAATCCAGCCAACACACACTCCGACATACCGAGAAGCATCTGGAACCCAT